TATATACATAATACAAAAACAGTTATGAACATACTAACCCCCATGTTTATATATAATGAAAACTACTAACATAATAAGTGATAGGTTTTTCTGAAACTCTAGCGTGCCATAAAATATCTCGACAGGTATAACGCGGAAAAACATCATATAAATCATCGCGTGTATCATCTCGTAGATCGTCTCGTAAGCGCGGTGTGCTACTAGTAATATCACTGAATAATAATATAACTTCCGGCCCAATGCCTGCACCTAAGTCTCTGTGCCCGTAGCCAAAGATAACTCCCTCCTGGCCCAATGCCCATCTCCGTGTCCCTCAGCCTTTCGCTAGGGATTATTTCTCCTGGCCTATCTGCCAACACCAGATCCTCGCCCCAGGCGGCATAGTGTCCACTAGGTACACACAAATAGTTACGGCTCTAAAAATAACCACTTCATAGTATAAAGTCATCTATCGTCTATACTATAAAGAAGGGTTTCTAAAACATGTTCTAGCATCCTATCGTCATCCATCAGATAGTCTATTAGTTCATGGTTTTTATAGAAAATACGATATATTAAAATATAGCTCGATATAGGCCAACAATTAATTCCTCACAAAAAACACGAGACGAAAATCAACATATTCAATAAACTTGCTTAACATAAAATCAAAACATAAACTTGTAAGGCATGCTATTCATTTATGCAATTGAACTATAAAATCATGTAATTTTAGAAGGGATCAACTCATAGTACTTCGCCGTTGAAAAGTCACGCAACTAGCGAAGACAGAAACGCCACTATAATTGCCCTTAAGCACTTAAAGAGTCCAATAAATAAAACTATATAATAGCAATTGAATTTGGGAAAATGGACATTGGAAATAGATTCAGAACGTCGAATTACCCTACGAAGGGCCTTGGATAAATTTCGTAAAATGTCAACATAATATCTTTAGAATATTCCACATAAAGGGTTTGGGTTTAGCTAATTAGGTGGGCTAGGTTTAGAGGAGAGGGCTTAAGGCCCTGGTTAAAAAGGCCCGAAGGCCTTAAGCCTAAGGGTTGTGTTTCTAGATAAAAAGGCTTAGGGCCTTAGCTAATTTGGCCCAAAGGCCTTTAACTTACAACAATTAATAAAATAATGAAATGGGTTTTGGGTTGGGCTCGGCAGGAAAGACCCAAAGGGCTTGGGTTTGGTGGGTCGCTGGACCTAAGGATGAAGAAGGCCGGAATTCGGCCAGAAATCCACACCAACTTTAAACGGCCATAACTTTGTCAAAACTTCATAAAATTGAGTGATTCAAAAACGAAAGTTGTAGTTCTCGAAGAGATGAAGAGAATGGTACCTACATGACGTCTAACTCTCTGTGGTTTGGCCGAAAAATTCCTCGAAAGCCTCGGAGGTCGTCGGAAATTGGGTAAGATTCAAATGAGTATAACTTCTTCAATACTCAACGAAATTGAGTGAAACAAAAAGGAAAGTTGTAGTTCTCAACAAAACGAAGAGATTGATATGTTGCACGCTGGCCAACTCATAGTGATTTGGCCGAAAATTGCCTCGAAAGTGGGCGTTTGCATCAGAGCTCGTGTACGGGGCTTCATGGTTCGACTTCCAAGATGCCAAGACTATGGTTGAGTTCGTAGAGACAAGATAAAGACGATGGTGATGTTTGTTGGTAAGAAAAGCCCTCAGAGGGGTTGAGATAGAGAGAGCCGAGAGAGTGTAAGGGAGAGTGTAAGGGAGAGTGAGGAGAAGAGAGAAAGAGGAAGACTTTTCAGAAAAATCAAAGAAAATGGAAAGGGAACCGGGGGACAAAATAGGGGGTGGGTCCCTTGGGCACACCATTTAAGACCCAAAAATCATTTTAAAAGCAAGATAATCTCAAACTTAGTGAAACACACAATTTAAATTAGGGGTGGGTGTAACACCTTTGCCATTTGAAAGAAGCATTATACTTTTTGAAATTTCCATTTTTTACACCGTCGATGGTGTTCGCCATGGTTTAAATGGATTTATCCATTACCATAAGTTTAGCTTTCATCCTCATGCTACTACTACTTGTGAAGGTCCATTGTACCACAGTATCATCGTCAGATATTATTTTCAATTCGATATGTGAGCCATTGGCGATCCTATGAATGTATAAGATTGTTAGAGTATCAACTTGAAGCACTATATTGTGGAATGAGAGAACTTGCATGGAATTGGGTATTCCTAAATCGTTTTCCATTTTTGTTTTCAAAACTTCCAAAGTATCATGCAGATTTGCTCAAACATTTGCTTTTGTAGTGTGCTCAAACACCACAATAATGTTGAAGGAAAATATGCTGAAATAATAATTATCATGCAGATTTTCTCGAACATTTGTTTTCGTAGTGTGCTCAAATACCACAATAATGCTGAAGGAAGGTTTGTTGAAAGAATGATGATGATATGATGATGATCATGATAATGATGATGATACATGATACATGATGATGATGATGATGATAATAATGATGATGACGATAAATCACATGATGATGATAATGATGATGACGATAATGATAATGATGATGATACATGATGATGATGACGATAAATCACATGATGATGATGATGATGATGATGATGACGATAAATCATGATAATGATGATGATGATGATGATGATGATGATAATGATGATTATACATGATGATGATGATGATGATGATGATAATGATAATGATGATGACGATAATCATGATGATCATTATCATCATCATCATTTTAATAATAATAATAATAATAATCATCATCATCATAATAATAAATATTGCTTATCAGTACTGTTGATTTGATTCAATGAAAAGAAGACTAAACCCTAAAAGAGAAATCGTTCTAACCCTTGTTGATAAACAATGTTATGGGATCCTGGTTTGTCGATGCTTCAACACTGCTGGTTCTTGCAATTAGTGATGCATCTACTTCAGCACTGCTGGTTTTTGCAATCACTCATGCTTTGGTTCCAGCATTCATTGATGTCTCTGCTTCAGCACTGGTTCCTGCATTCACTGATTCATTCACTGATGCCTCACTGGTTCATGCATTCACTGATGTTTCTGCTTAGCAACCCTTCATGCATCCTCTTCACGTGCAGCTGCAAAACAACCATTGAAACTTGATGGGCATGGTGCCGAAAATGATATAGCTAATGTGAGCATATTTGTGGAGTTAAATGGGGGAATGTTGGCGTCTGTGCAGGTCAACAAATCACATAAGGTAAGTGTGTTGAGAGACATATTGGCCGAGGCGCAGAATAAACATCCAACGCTTGCTAGTCTTATCTTGGAACATTATTTGTTCACAAGGGAAGGGTGCATGATCGTGGAGGACATCTCATTCCTTCGCAATTCTGTTAAGCACGACGATACAATATAGATAGTGTCGCAACCAAGCGAATTTGAGTTGTCGAAAAATGATGGTAAACTTATCAAGATTCTTGTGTCGAGGCGTACTAGTATGAGTATTGACAAGATAGTTATGGAAATTGTGGCATCAAAGACGGCAAAGGCTTTAAACGTATAGTTGGCTAGGAAGAGATGGTTGAAGGAGTTAGGATTCACCATCCCTAGGTATTACTCGTTTTGGCTATTCCATGAGCAGCCCACTACCGGCCACTTGTTTCAGCTTGTAGACACGACATCGCTTAGTCTGCAGTGGGTTCAGAAGGGCGATGCGATACAATGTTTGTGGTTCCAAAAGACCCACTGAAACTGAAAGTGAGGTCAAGCTTGACTAGCAAGACCGTTCACGTGCATCAATTGAAGGCGACCGATGCTATAAGGAAGCTAAGAGAGATGTTGTGGATAATCAAATATGAGATGTTCCCTTTACCATCACAACCATATGACTTGGAGTACAAAGGTGAACCCATCATGGATGAAAGGAAGTCATTTTACTAGCATCACATAGTTGGCGATGATGAACTAATGATATATATCATTCCATCCATTCAATGAGTGAGCCTACCGCCTTGCCTAGACTCGTATGCTGCAGCAATCCTAAAACTAAAACCTAAAGCCAATGCTAGCTATTAACCTATATATATATATATATATATATATATATATATATATATATATATATATATATATATATATATATATATATATATATATATATATATATATATATATAAGTATCTCAATCCTTGTTATTTTAAGTTGGTCAATCTGATTTGATCCGATCCGCTGGTGTGCTGACGATTAAGTCGGTTTTATATATGTGGCGAATAATATTAACGGAGTTTATATATTCTAATTACTAATTAGTGGGCATTGATACCATCGGTTCAAGATTATATTTAGATATGCGTGGATTCTTTTATGTTATATTACCATGTTGAATTGGTATATACTGTACAACATAAAACAATTTAGGTCCTAGAAATTAGCCTATACAATATATTTCCTTCCCTTCCCACACTCCTACAATCAAGGATAAATTTTAATTACTTTTGTTTTGAATATGGATGGATGGAGTCTCATACGCGCACGCACACAAATGGAAATGTGACAATCTCTGAGAAAATTTACTATAGTTAGGCCTAGAATTAATATTATCGATTCGTTTCGTTTCTTAAACTTTTGCAATCGAAATATGTAAAAGATATGATGATAATTGTAGATTAAATTTTTACAAATGAAAATCTTTTTCTTCCACGACCGAATTCAATATTAGCTCCTAATCCTACAAGAACGTGATAGGACAATATAGGATAAAAATTTGGAAACATGTATCCATTACCAATTAGGAAACTTATAGGTTTTTTTTTTAAATTTTTGGTAGTTTACAAACCGAGAATGCCATCCCGCCAAAAATTCAAATACTTGGCAGCATGGGGTTTGGTTGGGCTGGACTCTGGTCTTTGGTCATTGGGCTTTGGTCTGTATTCCCCAGACCTGCGACCCGCACTGCGTCCACCAAGTCCGGTTACTTCAATCAGACCTGAATTGTCACGACCAAATCCCCACAAGCCTCGATCTATACTGATTATTTTTGTCGAATCAGATAAATAACCACATGATACTTTTCATAAATTAATCAGACGCTTAGTGGAATATTGGACTAAATAATCGTAATATTATACCAGATAGAAGAATCAAACTTAAAATAAAATTAAGGAAAAAAAATTGAAATCATCTCTTTTTTCCCCGGACATTGATTCAGCACCAATGCTGGATATAATGCAAAAGAAAAGCTCTACTGCCAATCTCCACAGCTGGGCTTTGTGTAAGCCGAAACTCAAAAGGCAGGGAGGGAAACAAAACAAAAATTTGACATCCTGGGCTTTATTTGTAGGGGTCGGAGATGCAGCGGCGGAGAAGAGGGAGGGAGATCCGGTAGCCAGAAGAAGATGCAGGGAGAGAAGAGTCTTGTTCTAGGTGGTTGGGTGGAACCTGGTGGTGGTGGTTCATGTTGGCCGGCGGAGGAGTTGGGTTTTGGGATTTATGGGAAGGAGGGGGAAGAACAGAGGGAGGGGAAACGAAGAAGAAGATGTTCATCTCAGTCGACGCCGGCGGTGGTCACTGCCAGCCAATCGCCATGAGCAACATCAGGATCGCAGCCACTCAGAGGAAAATAAACCGGACTAATAATCCACTCCTTTTGGAATGGTTTATTAAGAAGGTGTATACCCGACTATCGGATCCGACTGCATAAATTAATCCGGCGACTATTTAGTACGAGAGGACACCAAACAGCCGGGTCCGTACTATTAGTCCTATCCTATCCCTTATAGGGTGTGCCACTAAAGGAGGCGTGTGGAAGAAGACGGAGGATGAGATCTCAACGCGGCGGTCATCAAGTACGAGTGGCTCGACCCCTCCATCAAAAAGGTAACCTTTTGGTTTATTTTTCTTGATAATTTTTATGAATTATTGTGATATGTGTTGTGTTTCTGAATGTTATATGGTGAAAAATGACTTGAGCTTTTAGGTTTTGTGTGTAGATTGTGGGAACCGATTTCGATTAGGGTTTATAATGTATGGTCGTGCTCGGATTCGTTTTGGATGTTCAAATATTTGATTTGCAATGAGGTGGGAGAAAGTTATGAAATTTCTTCTTCTTAGGCTGTTTTTAGCTGGGTTTTAGTTGGGTGGATTTGTAATGCTGATTCATTAACCTCCGATTCTTGCAGACTGAGTGGACTAGACAAGAGGATGAGAAGCTTCTGCATCTTGCTAAGCTCGTGCCGGAACCGTTCTTAGGAGGAGATAATCCAGAGATGCACCCATCAGAGTTTTATGGGGTCACTACTAGAAAAAAGGAAATTCAAACTATGCCTACTCCTTCTGCAACTCCTGAAGTGCCGGTCTTACAACTAATAGTGAAAAAATGGAGCAGCAAAAAAACTTGCAGTATGGTTTTGGCTGTTTACCACAGCCTAAGAACGAGTATCAGATTGTCGTACAACCAGTTCCAGAGGATGATGATGAACCTGAGGAGAAGACTGAAGAAGACATGTTTGATAGGCTAGCTAGAGAAGGGGCCGAGGAAGAAGCACGCCAGCAAGCATTACTTAGAAAGAGATAAAAAGTATTGAGAGGGAGCTCCCTAGACCTCGTGTTGCCTAATTGGGACTCATCAGAAATTCCTTGATAAAAGCAGATGGAGATAGGAGTTCATTTGTTCCTCCTACTCCTATTGAGCAGGCTGATGAAATGGTTAAAGTAGAACTTTTTAGCCTACTAGAGCACGATAATGCCAAGTATCTGCTTACTGAGAAAGTAGACAAACGGAAAAAGGATGGTCCCAAGCGCAGTGCCAATGGACCTAGTACTTCTGTCCCTGTGATAGGAGATTTTGATGAAGACGAACTGAAAAATGTATGTTTTTATCTCCTTTTATGCGTTATTTCTTTTGTATAATTGCTGATCTTGTAATGTCATTTTTGTCTTGTTTTCATATGTAAACACCTTTATGTTATGGACACGGATGCTTGGTCGTGGTGGTATTGCCTTTGTTTCTTCAGTTCATTTTCTATTGATATAGGATAGAGAATGTTTATTGTGTATCTGGGTTGGCAAACATCTCATCATGTTTAAGCAGTATGTTTTGTTGAGTAGCAAAGTTGCAGTTAAAAGCAGCTGTATGGATAGGGTGATATATTTTGGTATGTTAAAATGCATTAATTCATATTTAGGTATTTCAACTTATATTCTTCCCAATTCTATGGAGAGAGAGAGAGAGAGAGAGAGAGAGAGAGAGAGAGAGAGAGAGAGAGAGAGAGAGAGAGAGAGAGAGAGAGAGAGAGTAGTATTCAATTCATATGGCCACTCTTTATCTATACAACACTTTGACCTGATGTCTTTTGATTTTACAGACTAGCATGTCTAATGACTATATAGTTCCATGTTTTTACGATCCCCGTGTTATATGCTGGCTCATTCATTGATAAAGGAAGATGCAGAAATTCTTCGTGTTGCGATGGGGCATGAAAACGAATCCCCTGATGAATTTTTTGTAGCACACAAAACTTGCCTGAATGATCTCATGTACTTCCCTACTCGTGGCACCTATGGTCTATCAAGTGTTGCTGGAAATATGGAAGCTTGCAGCTTTACAGAATGAGTTTGACAATGTGAAGAAGAAGATGGATGATGATATCCAGAAGGCAGCAAGCATTGAGAACAAGGTTAAAGTCCACACATATGGTTATGAGGTATGCTTGCTGAATCTTTTGATTATAGGAACGTTCCTTTTTGTCGTTGTTAGAACAAGGGCTTTGGGTGCATCTTTTTCAAACATGCTATGCTGATTTCTTGGTTTTTTATTCCAACTTGAGCTTATATTCTTGGGTCCTTTTTAGAGTGAAAGTGGGGCTTTATATTATTAAGTTTTAGAACCTAAATTAAGATAAATTTGAGCAGCACTTTTGAAAATTTGAGCATTGTTCAAGATTCATATGCACCTCTTGTAATATAAAGTTATATCTCTCCTAATCTACGAGACTCGTACTTTAAACAGTTATTCAAAGAAATAATGCTGGACGTTGGACTCCTTATATTTGACCTTTGGCATTGAATAAGATTCATCGCCATCTGATGTTTCACAGGCTGCAAAACATTGACTTATAGAGTTGCTACATAGAAAAGGGAAATGATATCCGCACACCCATTCTCCTTGGGCACACCTTTTATTTCTGTCCTTTGATTCTCCTCTGATTCATTCAATCAAAGGGCGGACTTTATAAGTGAGCGCAAGAGGAGAAAAAAGTTGTGTTGCAATCACTTCCCAAAGAGGAATACCCTACATTTATCTTTGGCTAATTTCATCTTTTTTTTAAGGCCAACTTTATAGATTATTAACTTATTGCAGGTAAGTAGGTGTTGTTTTTGTTTGTTTTCTCTAGATGTTTTATTGTTTCCTGATACAATTCTTCAACTATTGTTGGGTTTTTTCTAGGATGCTTCTAGATTTAGAAACCACTGTGGCAGAAGTATTGACAAACCAGGAGCTGCATGTCACTGTTTATCAACAGGGGTAAGAACGATTTTTCTTTTGGGTTTAGTTTCTTTTCAGTGAATCAAATCAACTATAGTATTATTCATCAATTATTGTTTCAGTGTACTTTCGCTCAACATTATTATGGTATCTGAGTACACTACGAAAACAAGTGCTGAGCAAATTTGCATGATACCGTGGCAAATTTGAAAAGAAAAATGGAAAAGGATGTAGGAATATCCATTTCCAAGCAAGTGCTCTCCTTCAAGCAATGACTCACATATTGAAAATCTGTGATGATGATACGACACAATGGAGTTCCAACAAGAGGTTTAAACTTATGCTCAAGGATAGATCCCTTGAAACCGTGACCGACACCCTCGATGGCGTAAAGAGTGAAATTTCAAAAAGAATGTTGCTTCTCTCCAATAGAAAGGAACTGCACTCGAACGCTGATTACAAAGCTTTGTTGCTTTCGGGCAACGCGGAACTGGAGCTGGTATTCTCTACGTCACCGACTGCCTCTGCCACCACTTATGCCGCTTGTTTCAACTTGTAGACACGACATGGCTTAGTATGCAGTAGGTTTAGGAAGGCGATACAGTGTTTGTGGTTCCAAAAGACCTACTGAAACTGAAGGTGAAGTCAAGCTTGACTAGGGGGACCGATCACGTGCATGAAGTGAAGGCAGTTGAGGCTGTAGGGAAGCTAAGAGAGATGTTGCGGAGAATCGGAGATGAGATGTTCCGTCTACCATCACAACCATATGACTTCGAGTACAAAGGTGAACGCATCATGGACGAAGGGAAGCCATTTTACTAGCATCACATAGTTGGCGATGATGAACTGATGATATATATCGTTCCATCTCTTCTGTGAGTGAAATGGCCAACTATGTGATGCTAGTAAATGGCTTCCCTTCGTCCATGATGCGTTCACCTTTGTACTTGAAGTCATATGGTTGTGATGGTAGAGGAAACATCTCATCTTTGATTCTCCGCAACATCTCTCTTAGCTTCCTTACAGCCTCGGTTGCCTTCACTTGATGCACGTGAACGGTCCTCCCAGTCAAGCTTGACTTCACCTTCAGTTTCAATAGTTCTTTTGGAACCACAAACACCGTATCGTCATCCTAAACCCGCTGCAAACTAAGTCATGTCTTATCTACAAGCTGAAACAAGTGGCATAAGTGGTGGCAGGGCCAGTCGGTGATGTAGAGAATATCAGCTCCAGTTCCGCGTTGATCGAAAGCAACAAAGTTTTGTAATCAGTGTTCGAGTGTAGTTCCTTTCCATTGGAGAGAAGCATCATTCTTTTTGAAATTTCACTCTTTACGCCGTCGAGGGTGTCGGTCACGGTTTCAAGGGATCTATCCTTGAGCATAAGTTTAAACCTCTTGTTGGAACTCCATTGTGCCGTATCATCATCACAGATTTTCAATATGTGAATGAGAGCACTTGCTTGGAAATGGATATTCCTACATCCTTTTCCATTTTTCTTTTCAAATCTACCACAGTATCATGCAAATTTGCTCAGCACTTGTTTTTGTAGTGTGCTCAAATACCATAATAATGTTGAGCGAAAGTACGCTGAAACAATAATTGATGAATAAATACTATAGTTGATTTGATTCACTGAAAATAAACTAAACCCAAAAGAAAAATCGTTCTTACCCCTGTTGATAAACAGTGCCATGCAGCTCCTGGTTTGTCGATACTTGTGCCACAGTTGTTTTTAAAGCATCCTGAAAAAACCCAATAATAGTTGAAGAATTGTATCAGGAAACACAAAACAACACCTACTTACCTGAAATTTGGTTGTAGTCGAGGTGGAAAGGGTACAGCAGCACATGGATGAACTCAGAGCAGGAATTCTGATCTGGAATTGGCTGAGGCTGCAGCAAATGTTACTTCTGCAGACAACTGAAAATCCTGATCCTGTAACTGCCTCAGATGAGCTTTGAAATGCTGTTCCCATGGTGAAGCAACAAATCATCAAATGGATGGTGTGCAAGAACAGGCTTTAACGGGCCCAGAAGGTGATATGGACATTGATGCCAAAGAGGTTCATGCAACGCCAGCGGGACGATGTAAGCTTGCCTGATAACATGCCTTCTGCTGTTGAGGGAGAGAACGTTTCCGACAGTGTGCTTGCATCTGAAAACCTGAAGGTAAATGATCCTGATGTGTCTTAGGATTGCCACAGAACGTGATAGAAACTGAAGGCACTGCCCAAGCAGCGGGGGACGATGGTTTTTCTAACGGGACTGCCACGTAGTGAACTCAGCCTGGTTTGGGTGATGAATCAAAATGTTGGATCGGATAACCAGGTGCGAGCTGATTACAGATATGATATAGTCAATTGAAAACCATATCCCGAATCGTTTTCTGGTTTTTTTACGGTGCAACTGTTATCAGATTGAGGAACTACAGTGGAACTTGGAATCTCTTCATTTTGAGAGTATCTCTAGGGTCTCTTGGACATGAACTTCTTACTGAGTCTGCTCCATAATATACTGGCGCACCATGTTAGAAAAATTGATTTTACCTTTTTTTATTCTTTTCTTCCCACACTTGCTCTCAATCTAAAGTTTACAAAGTCCAATTTTCAATTAAATTCGTAGATTGTGGTAGATAATCTCAATCTTGTATTGTAATTATCTCATTAATCACGCCAGCGAGGGATAGAGACGTTTCAGTCTCTCATTATGTAATTCACCAATGCAACTGTCTAATACAATTTGGTTGTCATTGCTTTAATAACTTAATCTGCTATCGTTTCAGTTGGATTTTTTATGATGGTTAACTTAATCTGATCTGAGACCTAGTTTCTTACTATTTGTTCGCACTTGAAATTTTTTTTGCAACATAAATCTGTAAGAGCATTTTTCACAATCCGGAAGATAAATTAATTAAAGCAATAAAAATCACAATTAACAACCAGAAGAGCTAACTAGCTATTGCTAGCTTTGAAATTATAACATGAACAGGGGTGAACCCACATCTGCAGCCTTGTTATTCTCATAGTTTCAACACTAATACTAGAACACTATTTCGATCGGAAACCCCCCACAACAAGCCTTCAAGATTAATCAAAACGTAAGGCTTCGAATTTCTTCACCGCTTTCTTAATTTGACATGCTAGGTGAACTTTACGAACAATGCATCCTTTCTTACTACTACTACTACTATATCCTTAATTAGCATCAAATCTACGGCAAATCATTTGAACTTACATATCAATCATATCCTCACACAGACTAGAAGAAGCTGAAGAATTTACATACCATAGGCACAGAAACTCTTTATGCAAGAAGTTGAAGAAGAGTTTGAACGTTGATGATAGTATCTGGCTCCATAGTCGGTTTTGTTATGAATATGATGCAATGCGTTTCCTGATAACCATAATCCAAAATTGAACCGATTTAATCTGTTAATCAAATCATATTCATACATACATACATACATATACATATATATATACATGGACTACTGATGTGTATTCATCTGTGGAGATGATACATGCATACCATCCAACACCATACTTTTCCAAAGCAGACTCGATCATGGGCCAACCTTGTTGCAAATCCTCTTCTGCAGAAAATAAAACAATTAGGTAAGCTTGTTTCAAATTCAACAGGAAGATGTAGAGGAGGAAGGGAAGTTAGGTACCAAAGCATCTAGGGTAGGAGCAGTAGAAAGAACAGGGGTCCAGCCTGCCCTTCTCCTTTCCCGGAGGGAAGAACTTATCGATGTCCTTGAGCACGCCGTATGGATCCGGCACCCACCGCCTAAACCACTCTTGTAGCTGCTCAGCCTCGTTGACGACACCGTTCACGTTGTCGTTCATCTTCTTCGATTGAAACCGCGGGAAAGTTCAAGGTTGCATGTCTGCTTTTATTTTATTTTTTTGGTCTGTGTCGGTCTGCTTTTATACACAATTTTGTTTTATTGGGTAGGAGTGGCAAAGGAAACGGACGGACTCTGAGCCGTTAGATCATTACTGCAACGGACGGATGGATTCGTTTCAATTCAGTTCTAATGTCTACCGTTGGATCACATCAAACATATCCAAAGGCCCCTTTTTGTCTTGGATCCAATTGAAAATCAAAAGAAAACTAACGAAAAATCCAAAAAAACTTCTCTTTTAACGAAAAGCCCCTTTTAAATGTATAGTGAATAGTGTCAGTTAAAGGTAAAAATGTGGTTTTTCGTTAAAAGTGAACAGTACCGGAAGTGTTTTGTTAAAACTCTCTTGAATCAACAAATGGATTCAATTCGATTCAATTATATCCTCAACCGTTCGATCACATTAAATATATCCAACGGCCCTTTTTCGTCATGGATCCTTGTCAATTGGAGTGTGGGAAATGACACTTATGTCCTATTAAACTGATCAAATTTTGCATTTTTAATAAATTTTCAAATATACCCCTACTTACTCTAAATTAAAAGGGATGTGCTATCCACACACCCATTTTTACTTCTTCCACACCCCTTGTTAATTTCTGTTCTTTGATATTCTTTAATTCATCTGATCCGACGGCCAAAAATTAAAAGGGTGTGAGAGAAGTAAAAAGAGGTGTGTGAATATCACACCCCAATTAAAAAACATACCTTCATTTGGTCATTTGCTTATTGTTATTATTAACTTTCTAATGATAGTTCTTTTTTAAGATGGTGAAAGAAGACCAAAGTTCGAATACAAAGTAAATGTCATACTCTTTTTCTTTCCTTACATAGTTACATACCTTTGTTAATTTTATCATTCGGATTTGAAAAAACAAAAAACAATTAAAGAATATAAGCAAACAATTAAACACTGATGTGAAGAAAGAAAAAATGTGAAAATCATTTTCCGACCGAATTCTCCGCAATAGAATAACAAAAAAAATAAAGATGGCAATTGGTTCCTACATTGAATGAAGACAGATTTATGGTCACTGAGCAGATAATTTGTCCAACTAATTAGAAGAAAGAAAGTTTGATCCTTCCTTCTTGCTGGATAAGCTCATTCAAGCTGCCCCTTAAAAGCACCCTTCCTCCCACTTCGCACACACAGACAGAGTCTCTCTCTCTCTCGCCAAGTTCCCACAGGCCACAGGTATGATGGTCTATCTTTCAACATTTCTGTTTTTTTTTTTTAAATAGACCCGTCCATGCTATGGTTCAGGATTTTTAGCCGTTGGATCTTTAGCTAAGATTACAATGGTTAAAGATACAACGACTAAAAATCTTGAACTTTGAGTAAAGATACATCGACCATGGCATGAGCCGGTCTATTCTAAAATTTCTCTTGCAACAATCTATTGTATATTACTGAGTGATTTTTGTTGTTCCTGCTCTTTTTAGGAGGTCTTGCAATCGACTAGCTAAAACTTGTTCATTTCATCATCTCTACTCAGCTAAAAGGTACCCTTTTTTTCTTCACAATCATCTGATTCTATAATCATAATTCACATATGTGATTGAGATCCTCTACGGATGTCTGTATCCGAAGTAGACGGACCCAGATATATTGACCACTCATTTTAATCTAACGGCCTTCATTAGCCTATTTTACTGGCTCACCTCACACAAACCAAAGATCTGAATCTCTCTCTCTTTAACAACCCAGATCTGCAGGTCCTGAATTTTAGCCACAGAGATTAAGAGATGATCTCGATTCCACATATGTAAATTTTTAAAGCAATCAGACGGTCCATCAATTTCACAAATGTCACAAACCCTTTGAAACGGATCAAATCAATTAATATCTAAATATACCGAAGTTTTCAGCCATCAAATTGGAATTTTCTATCACACATGTTAACTTCAATATCCACATCAAAATTGTAATGGCTCATACTTTATATGGTAGAAGGAGGAATCTTCCTGTAAAGCATAAAATAGAACGGTCCCATATATGATGACAATTATACAAAGCTTTCAACCATTTCCAATGGCCTCCTTCAACATTGGTCCACTTGGATTCCAAATTAACAAAAACTAATTTAAACTAAGGAAAACTAATGAAAAGGGCTTGAAAACTTTGAATTTTAATGATAAGGACAAAATAAAGGGTAAAGTGAATAGTACCAGGATTGACTTTTTAGTGTAAAAATATGGTTTTTCGTTAAAGTGAACAGTACCGGGTGCTTTTCATTAAAGTTCCCTTTAAACTATTAGGCTGGTGATTCGAGCTTCAAACTCATTTGCATAGAGAGAGCTCATATGTTCTAGTCAAAATGTGACGACGCCCTCGTCAACCTAATTAATTAACTCACCAAACTTGACATGGGAAAAAAACGAAAGAAATCAGAAGGGTAACTGCAAAATCTTTTGATTAAAAGCCTCTCATAATTCATGGTAACTGAAAATGAATTGTCAAGAAATTGTCGGGGGTTAAAGTTCAATTTACTGGAAAGTGTTGATGCATATATATATATGAGAAACTTTTAGATGTGCCGGACTTATATAATAACATTTGATGAATCGGAGCGTGGTCCCAGCATACTGAAAAACTTGTCTATATATAGGAGCCACATCATTTGCATGCATGCTAAAGTTGTCAACTTGCTAGATTTGCATGGAACCATTTTTTTGGCTTGGAGAGCTTTTTCCCGTGATCCTTCTGAATCACTTTTAACCTTTTCTTGGTGGTGGGAATACACCACTAGTTTATTTGATGGTTTGTTAGGTGAGGTTTGCTTGGAAGTTTCTTGAAGACTATGTACTTTTGTAGCTTCCTGTTGACCTCACACCATGTATACAAGTTCCATTTTTATATCATAATTCATCAAGGTTTTCAGTTGTGTTTCTAACCTGGTTTTGCACTGATTATTTAAGGAACAAGTGCTTTTGCAGTTTTGCTGAAAGCTTTGGTGCTTTTGGCTTAATTTATTGGAGAGGGAGATCCTCTGGTGAAAGCCAATAAGAGAAGGAGCTAGCTTGCACTGGTATGCACATCTCTCTCTCTCTCTCTCTCTCTCTCTCTCTCTCTCTCTCTCTCTCTCTCTCTTATGATTTCCGTTTTCTCGTTTTTTCTATTAGCACTCTTCTCTGTTTTTCTAGCTTTTGGATTAAACAAATGAAAGAATAATTAAAAGATATACATAAAGAGAAAACGAGAGTGTGAAATCCCTTCCCTCTCTACCCTTATAAATTTCCTGTAGACTAGTTCTAAGTGGATTGGCATGGTCTAATCACATAGAAATGGGTTCAAGGTTGGGGAATTTTCAATTTGGTCGTTGCATGTTTTGTTCTGTTATTTTCCACCAAAAAACGCTACAAATAGAGTAGTAAGGTTGAATTATGCTTGAATTTAGGGTCAACATAACTGAAAGTTTTTCGCATCAGAGTTTTTTTAGTTTTATTTTTTGGCTATATATTTCAAAAAGATTAATTTTTAAGGAAATTTTGATAAAAAGAAGAGAAGTTGGGTGTTCTTTTTCCCCCAAATTCTTCCATAATTCTAATCGATATTTTGGTGAAGCATCCAGCAATGGTAGCTGAAAACAAACTTTGTAAGCATCAGTTTATGTAAACTTAATCATTTGATTCTGTATTTTTATCTAGTTAGTGACGTTTTAGGATTTATATAGCTGACCTCACGCAATGGGATAAGGTTTCGTTGTTGTTGCTGTTAATTCTGCATTTTTATCGAGGCAGTGCAGTAGCGCATGAACTGATTCTGTGTCTTTTTTATTTTGATCTATCGGGATTAGTTTCTTCGCCGAAAATGGTAACTAGAACGGTGGATCTCCGATCAGATACGGTCACTAAACCATGCGAAACAATGCGGGCTGCAATGGCGTCGGCTGAAGTTGATGATGATGTACTCGGGGCCGACCCAACGGCATTCCGCTTAGAGTCGGAAATGGCAAAGGTCATGGGGAAGGAAGCGGCACTTTTTGTTCCGTCAGGCACAATGGGAAACCTCATCAGTGTACTTGTGCACTGTGACATCCGAGGAAGCGAAGTCATTCTCGGACACAATTCTCACATTCACATTTACGAGAATGGAGGCATCGCCACAATCGGAGGTGTGCACCCGAGAACGGTTAGAAACAACAAAGACGGAACCATGGATCTTGATGCGATCGAAGCCTCCATCAGAGATCCGAGAGGGGAGCTTGTGTATCCGACGACAAGGCTTATTTGCTTGGAAAATTCGCAGGCAAAGTAAGGTTATCTTATTAGCCAAAAAACCACATTTGGATTAGCTTGTTTTGTGCAGATTAAGATTTGCTAACGAAGTTATTAGTTTTTGTTAATGCACAAAATCGGGTGGACTTTGGAACAACGTAAAGTGTTAAGTTTATGATTTTCGTAAGATTGCTCCGGTTACTACTAAGTGTAGACAAATACGTAAAGAGATAGATATGGTACTTGGGGTCATTTTATATAAAATCTGGTGGACTGCTAAATATGTATGTCATGACTTGGGGTCATTTTATATTATGCCTATTTTGTTGGACTGAGAAAAGATGGTACTTGGTTTATATTTTAATCTGGAGATTATCCTTAATTAATAATTAAGTTTCTAAGTTCTACTTGCATATATGTAGTCAAAGTTAGCTTCTCCCTTCTCAGAAGAATCTTTAACTAAATTATTTTAATTGACCAAATGTGTTTGTTTCTCAATGCCCCCATATATTATCTTTCATATGTTTGTTTTTCCTCGATTTGTGCGTGTCATCCTTGCGCAGGGGCTGCGCTATCTTCTGTCCTATTCAAATATTAACTAATGGTAGTATGCTTGTTTTTTAATACCCCAAATTTTAATGGTTTTTAATACTCCTATGAAGAATCTGCTCTATTATCTTTCTATCTATATCGAATAAGTTCAGGCATCAACTCAATGAGTTCTACATTTCAGTGAAGAATGTTCTCTTTGGACCGTCTAATTTCTAGATTAAACTAGTTGCAAGATGCAGTGGATACTCCAAAAATTGGCTACGATTATACCTCTTTGAGCTTAAATTTAGGTCTGAAATGCCTTGTAACTTATATATGTGGTATGAATTTCCAAATGCAGCTGCGGTGGTAGATGCCTTACTGTAGAGTACACAGACAAAGTGGGAGAAATAGCCAAGAAACATGGTTTGAAGCTCCACATTGACGGGGCTCGAATTTTCAATGCAGCAATTGTGAGTAAATTTTCCTCACGCATTTAGTGTCTCAATCATCTGAAATCCTCCTTTCCTTTTGTATGATTCTTGCAATTACCAACATCACACATTACCGAATCCTCAGTGTCTAACGCAATATTCGTTTACAGGCACTCGGTGTTCCTGTTGATAGGCTTGTGCAGGCTGCTGATTCAGTTTCGGTATAATTCCTGTAAACAGAATTTTAAGTAATTTTTATTCAGTCAAGTCCTCGTGATACGCAATCATTAACGGAAACCTGATTGATGAACTAGGTTTGTCTGTCAAAAGGTATTGGTGCTCCTGTTGGATCTGTCATTGTTGGTTCGAAAAGCTTTATTGCTAAGGTACAACAAAATCCCTCTGTTAAAGATCAACATCACATCTTTTCATTTCTCTTTGGAATTTGATTTGTTACTGTCTTCTGATCTTAGGCTAGAAGGCTCAAGAAACCTTAGGCGGCGGAATGAGACAGGTTGGTATCCTTTGTGCTGCTGCTTTGGTCGGTTTACATGACAATGTTGCGAAGCTTGAGACCGATCACAAGCGAGCTAAGATTTTAGCAGGTACGTTCTCCTTGTATTCAGTTCCATGTACCATATTCAGAGGACAACCATGATTTTCTCTTCTCAAGCTCTATCTATGGCTTTTCTAATGCTTCCATCTTATAAATTCAGAGGGACTAAATCAAATCAAAGGACTGAGTGTAGATGTCGCTTCGGTTGAGACCAACATTGTGAGTATTATAGTTTACCAAAGTTCAAAATATTGACAAGTTGCAAATCTGATGCAAGAATTTACTTAATTGGAGTGCAGTAGTTTTCTAACACGAGTTTGAATTTCAATAACCCTGCTTCGTTTCCATTGCAAATTGTAACGGCTTTTTTTTATATAATCAGTTATACATACACGTCGAAGAGGGCTCAAATGTTACTACCGAAAAACTAGTCAAGAACTTGGAAGAACACGGTGTACTCATGATGCAAGAGAGCTCGTCAAGGTTTGCTTCACCTCTCAAATATCTCCGTATCGCGATCCATATGCATTAAATTCTCTAGAACCAGTGGAAAAATACGTTAACTTGATCTCGAAATTTTCATTTTCTTTTCCCTCAGCATTAGGATAGTTATCCACCACCAAATCTCTGCAAGTGATGTGCAATACACTCTATCCTGCTTTCAGGTAAATTACATCACATTCTACACCTTATTTCCAACTGCATTCTCTCTTTGCCCAAACTTACGTCTGCATTCCTTCTTGCAAACGTTACAGAAAGCTCTGACTGGTGGAGTCCTTGAAGAAAATGGAAACTAATCGGAGACGCCCCATCTGCTTCGTTGAAGATGTTTAAAGCGTCGAGGGGCAGCAATAATTCCTTCTTCCCAAACCTGCTGGAGACTTCTGTGCTTGTTTCATTTACAAGGTTTTATGGAGGGAGACTTTATCAATTTAATGTTTTTTTCTTCTTCTTCTTCGGGTTTTTAAGGAAAACATCATGGGGAATGCTAGCTAGCTCTCTGTTCTTCCGTATTATTCCCTTACCACCTATCAACGTTTTAAATCGCAATACCTTATCGCGTTGCAGATTATATACGCTGTGCTATAGCTTAAGCATCAACACATTGTCGCGTAAGATTTTGAAAATAAAAATATATATGTATATATTATGTCTGAAAAATATTCTACATGATAAAAAATTTAGATCAAAAGTTATATTTGAGTCAAATCCTTTTGGTGTTAATACAAACTCGTGTTTGAACTTAGGTATTGCTAACAATCAAAACTGTAAGGTTTACAAACTAGAACAATGAACTCATGGTGGGCTTGGTATATTGACTGCACTAAATTGGACTCTAAAATGTAAGTAGTTCACCCCTTAAAACTGGGCTACGTTCACTGTGTTGCTCATATATAAAACCTGCCCCTAAAGACTTGTGCCATAAAGCTGTCAGCATGCCCACGTGTTTCCAATGGTCGAATGACTGCTTTTCCATCTTGGTCATCTCAAGCGCTCGAGATATCTTCCTTTGAACTCTTTGGGCACCTTAGTCTCCCTTGGGCCTGCGATGTTTAGTGGGTCTAAAAGCACCCAGAGTTACCAGGCATAACTTTAGAGTTAAAACTGGGGAGGAGAGAGAGCGAGGAAGAGAGAGAACTCATATTAAATTCCAACTTTTATTTTTTCAACAATGTTAGTTGAAGTTAAGTCTAAAGTACACGTGTTACATAAGTAGAGACACCACTAAGGGTTTAAATATAAGGAAAACTAATGAAAATGGTTTGAAAACTTTGAGTTATAACGATAAAGACAAAATAAAGGGTAGAGTGAATATAGCATGATTGACTTTTTAGTGTAAAAATGTGATTTTTCGTTAAAGTGAACATTATCGTGAGCTTTTCGTTAAAACTCCCTTTAATCTATATGCTATATGTAAACGGTCTTATCATTTGTTGAGAAAAATAATTAGTCTATTAAATTTTTAAGGAAAAAAAACTAATATAAAATACTAAAGGGCTTTAGAACATAGGCATCACATTTCAAGAATGCCTTACACAAACTTTAATAGCTCGTTTACGTAACTGTAATCAAAATAAGAGGAATTTGATTGAGTGGGAATTGAATTGAGGATGAGTCAAAATCATTAAGAATCTTCTGGTGTTGGGAAAAGCAAAAAAATATTAGGTTTCAAGATTGATTTTGTAGAAATTGGTAAAGATGAAATAAAAATCGTCAGCTCACTGTTTTTTTTCTTTCAATAATGCTATTCTTACTATATTTTTGTACCATAATAGTATACTACCTTAGATGGCATTCGATGTGGACAACTACATTATCTAAATTAATTAGTATTTAATTTCAAAATGTTAATCAATAATTAATAAAAAGATTGTTAATTAAATAATGATTGTGGTATACGAGAAGTCTTCTTCTTCCACCTAAGATTATTTAAGTGTTTTAATTAATAAAAATTTGAAATTAAATGATGTAGTTTGTCCAACTCATCTGCCACCTAAGATGATAAAGAAATGTGGTATAAAATTATGGTAAGAATAGCATTACTATTTTTTTTTTTACAAAAACAAAATTCGACTATTGAGCTTTCACGAAAACAGTTTTGTGGACATTAAGCAAAATGTTATAAGTTGTTTGGGTGAGCTCATTATTTAGAGCATTTCTAATGAGGGTTTTATCCTTCTTGAGGTTAGGTTACTACATTTAAAATTTTAGTGAGAAATTTTATCTCTAATAGACCGAATTATATCTGCTATAGTAAAACATAAGACAACATCCAACTCCAAAAAGCAATGGGTCCCATGAAAAAGGTAGTAGCAAATGTGAACCGAATTATGCCTTTCTCCCCTCCCCACTTACAAATACATTTATACTCTATTTTTATTCTTTTTTATTTTACATATTTTTGTTTTAAAGGTCCTCCTCCATTTTTTGTTTTTGTATGTTTAATTCTTAAGATATAAAATGATTACAATGCAACAACTTTGAGGACAATGGTTGGGTGTCATTTGTATCCAATATAAGCACCATTGTATGCACTGGAAGGTTATTTATTTAGCAATGGAAGCTTATGTATTCCATGGTTGGGCCATTACAGTTTAGCGGTTGGGAGGTCTTTGAGAATAAAAGAATTGGAGCTTATGTATTCTGAAGTTAATATGATAATGTTAATAGAGCTAACTATCTACCGGGTTAGATTGAGATGAGAAATCTGATCTAATTGTTAGTGGAAGAGGAAATCTTATTTTGTCTGATTTAGGAGAATGTGTCAATCAGAGAAATAAATCAACAGTTGAGGTTGAGATAAGATAATTCAATCTAATAGTTGTTATAAAATAAAATCTTATCTTGTCTGATTTCAAATAAACAAACCAACGGATGAGATTAAGATAAGAGAACTTAATAATTGTTATATGGCCCTTCATTGGAAAATATTCATTTTTAAGGCCCCAAAGATTCTTTGAGATTCTAAAATAGACTATATTCACTACTTTTTTTAGTCTCATAGAAAGTCCCTCATTGAGATGCTCTTAGGCAATCTCCAACCGAATGATGGTCAAAGGGCTCCCTTTAGGCCTATAGCCCTGCAATAAATTATATTCTAATGAACAGTGTCAGACCATATTTTATATCATCTCTAACCAAAGGGGTCAAAGAGTTATAAGCCAAACATAATTTATTTTTTTACTTGAATTAATATGGTTAATTAAATTAAACTATCATATTAAAATAAGATTTTCGGACATATTTTGAGTGTCAAATGTCGCCAAATGAATAAGCTTCCGGATTTCTTATCTTTATATAATATCAATAATTTTTTAAATATGATTTCGAGTGACACATGTCGTTAACGTGAGTAACTCTCCAAATTTCTTATTTTTATGTAATCTCAATAATTTTTTGGATAGGATTTCGAGTGACATGTGTCGCTAAAGTGAGCAATGCTAAAGTGAAAAGTATGTGAGAAATGGTGTATGAATGATTTGGGTATTTATAGGAAAAAAATAGAATTTATTTTTTAAATTCGTCCAAAAATAAAATTCAAATTCCAACAGTAACATGACAGCAACATGACATCAGTTAGCCGTTGCTAGCTGGCGTCATGTTGACGCTAGGTAGTCGTTGGCATTCAGATGGGCTGGGTTGGAGGGCTAGCAAAATGTTAAGCTTGACATTCTGGTGCTAAAGGGCTGGCTGGCTGGTTGGAAATGGCTAGCCCGCTGGCCTGATTTGGGGGTTTTGGCCTGATAGGGCCCAAAAGCACTTTGGCCTAGTCCTCGGTTAGGGAAGATTTTCGTGTCATTCCGAACTATTTTTAGCTTTATGGTCCTTTGGGCGGGTCGGTTGAAGATGACCTTATAGACCCCCAAATGGACATTTAAGCAAAACTTGGACTATTTTTCTAAGGGGTTAATTTTCGTGATTGAAAATTTGAACAACGAACGTCACGACACACTTGGAAAGTGATGTGGTGGGACCCAAGCATGAGAACCTTGGATTAGAGATAGGTAGCCACCAAGACAACGGTGTAGGCCACCATCTTGCTCGTCTAACTGATCTGTGTTGGTCATTCGTGTTACCACCAGCTTGTAATTTGTATCAGTTGATTTAGGGCCTGGTCATCCTGTCTACCTTTGTAATGGTTCTGTTTCTATATTAATGCATTTCTATCGTTTCCATCAAAAAAATGTTTAACCATCTTGGTGGAGGGATTGTGATGAGAGAAGGTTGGGGTTTTTTATTAAATTTTTTTATATGAATTTTTAGGGTTAAAAATAGTTTTGTTCACTGTGTTACAGGTCAAAATTTATTTTAGTTACTGTGTTTTAAATTGAGCCAATCTGCTCACTGTGTTGTTAGGGTCTCTACTAGGTCTAGCGTAGTGGTGAGAGTCGGTATGGTGATGAACTGATGATAGGAGTAGATCTGCAGATGTGTTCAGAGTTCGATAGATGTATCCTAAAGAAAATATATAATAAACGGTATGCAATTGCTAATAGACAACTGTTAATGTAAATTTGTAATCAACATATAACATCACTAATTAAGTACCAAACCAATTAATTAAGTGAAGTGATTTTCATACACCATTTTAGCTCTTTACACACTCCCTCTTTATTGGCTATTAGATTTAATAAGTCCAAAATTAATGACAATGATTAAATAGGGATTATAAAGTTAAAAATGATATGTGAAAATCATTTTCTTTAATTAATAACCGAGTCTTGAAATTATGGGTACATAAAAAATAAAATTAAAAAGTAATGAACTAGGGAACTAGCTAGGGATGCTGTTGTTTTGGACATCAAAGCAATAATTTTCTATCAATCATATAAAGCAAACTAATCTCGACACACACGACACACGTTATAAGCCAAAAAAAGGATTAACAAAAACATTTTTGGTTGTCTGCTAAAAGCAGAAGTATTCGTTGGTTTCTGGTAATTTGCATGCATGCGATAGCTAGAGAGTCAATTCTAAAAGGACATGAACACGAGATAATTTTTTGGATGAGAGTTTATGGGGAATTTGCTATGAAGGTTCCTCGTTAATTTGTTGCTTTCTTGACTGTTTGTTTACAATCTGGGGACTTTTGAGCAGCACTCGCTCTCCATCTATTGACGACTTTTGCCTCTTAATTTGCCCTTTTGTAAGATTAATTAAGATTTTTCCTCAATTCTAGCACTAATCTAATGTAAGATAAATCAAATTACGAAGAGGTTAATTCAAACTTGAGATGGAAAAGAGCGTACCCATTTTTAGGGCTCGGTTAAGTACTTTTAAAATGAATTAAAATGTTTTTAGAAAAAAAATTGTTTTTAGGTTTCAAAAACACGTGAAATGTTTTCTGCAAGAAACACCAGTTATGTGCTTTTTCTAAGAAGCACTTTAAGTGATTTTTCAAGATTCACTTGCAACGTTACAAAGGATTGGTTTTAATAATATTTTTACAAAAGCACTTTCAGTGTTTTTTAAAGCAATTTCAAAAGAGCCTTTAATGATCTTAGCTTGAAATAATTTTATTTAGTTTTTTTTTTTTTACCAACTCATTTTGTTCCCTAATAAGAGACCGTGATTGGGCCACGGAAAGTAAAGAGTGTTAA